ATATATGACAGAAGATATTTTATGTTTGGCTTATGAATGTGACCCATCCTGACCAACATTTTTCTTCCCATTCTCTACCATAGATTTTCTTACTGTATTTTTTTTCCAGTTTTATTGAGATCTGACATAAAACAAAGTTTAAGCTGTACAACATAATGACTTGATGTTTATGCATTTCTTTTGTGAGAATGAGCATCATCTCATTTAAGACCATTGATTTCCGTGTTGCTAAACCATGTGTAGCCTTACTCATCCTTATCTCTTTTGATGTTGAGCAACCTTTGCATCTTGCCACAATTTTGTTCTCTTGAACAATAACACAGCCTTGTTTCCCCCCGACCTACAACCTCATCCTTCGTTAGACCTCTCAGTGACTGCCTCAGACTTGGTCATTGCCCTTGTCTCCATCTTCATTCTATCATCAAATATATCTGGATGGCAGTGATTCCCAAAATCATGTCTCCAGCCCCAGACTTTTCAGTGAGTGCCAGACCCATACTTAAATATCTCCTTGGTATCTTCACTTGGATGCGCAGGTGAATCCACTTGAACACTGTGAATCTCCCTTGCCCTGACCCCTCCAAAAAAATCTCCAAAACCAGAAAACAAAAATTCTCCAGGGATTTGCTTCTTGTTAAAGCCAGAGACACAAGTCTATTTTTGATTCTTTTGTCTTGCTCACCTTCCATATCCATGTAGCTGCCGCCCCCCCCCCCCCCCCCAGCTGCTTTATACCGAATCTGTCCTCCTTTCTCTTCTGGGCTGAGCCTGGCTCTTCCCATGGGGGTGGGGGGTGGGGGGGTGGAGAGGGATGACAACAACTTCTGCATTATTTGCATTGCTCTGTGCCTCCTGCTATTTGCCTGGCTCCTCCGAGAGGTCTTCCTTGTCTACCCCAATCCAGCAGAAGGCCTCCTAGTCGCCCTTATTTTCAATACAGAACTTGTTACTAAGAGTATTTTGTTTATTCATTTATCTCTGCTCTTTGAAAATTTAGTTTCTGTGGCAGCAGGGATCTTGTCTTTTGGTTTACTGCCATATCCTCACTATTCTGAGTAGTGATACATAGTAGTTATTTAGTAAAATAATTTGTATTTGTTTGGATTGCTGATCAGTATCCTCTGTACATTTTACCATTCAGTCTTAGTTATTTCTAAAAGCTCTATCTCTTATAATTTGTCGTCTTATTCATTGCAGCTGTTGTGGAACAGGAAATGAAAAAGGACTGGCTTTTTGCTCCTCACTATCGTTACTATGTCAGAGAAATGAGAATTCATGCATACAGCCAGCTGCTGGAATCCTATAGGTCATTAACTCTTGGCTATATGGCAGAAGCCTTTGGTGTTGGTGTGGAATTCATTGATCAGTAAGTATAAATAATAATATGTTAATGCATATCTCTTAAAGTTATTTAATATCTCAACTTATACATTTTCTCCATTTACATTGCTTCCCTCAATTATAAAAAAAAAAAATTTTCTCTAAACATTATCAGAATAATCATCTGTCATCTGCCTTCATGATGTGCCCCTTTTATTAACAGCTGGGAATACTGAGTTGTAGAGTGGTTAAGTCAGACCAGGTGTTATGACAGGAGTATTCTGTCCCTTCTTTGTGGACCACACTGCTGTTAATGGTGGTGACTCCTAGAGGCCACTCTCATGTTTCACATTAAGGTCATATTTTCTCTGATAATGCCGTCATTGTTTTTGGTTGCTGCTGCAATTCTGGTCACATTAGTTGTTAAAGATGGGACTTTGAGCCCTTAAATCAATGATTCATCAAATACTAAGCCATTACTGTATGGTTGGCATTGTTTAAAAGTAAGGTCCTTGTCGTCATGGACTTGAATATTTGATGCTTTTTATATGGGGAGAGTTAGCAAGTAAGCAAATAAATACATAAGGTAATTTCAGATAGAAATGAATCTTGAGATAATGCAACAAAAAGATGCGTGTGGCTGCCATGGAGGTAGTGGTGGGGGAGGGGCAGCAGTGGGAGACTCAGGCACGTGTACGTTTGTGCAGGGCCTGGTAGGCCATGGTATGGAGCTTGGGTTTTAATCTAGGTCCTGTGGGAAGCCATTGGAGGATTTTAAGCATGAGTGATCAAGCATGAAACCCTGTCTTACACAGACCTCGAGGGGACAGGGAGACTTGGTGGGCTGTTGAATACAGGAGCTCATGGAGCAGCTATTATGGTGGCCTGGACTAGGGTGGTGGGAGTGGAGTGTGGGAGACTTACACAGAGTATGTGCTTTCCTTAGTGTATCTGGATCCGTGGTTCCCAAAGGTAGATCTGTTAAGTGCTGGTGGTAGTTTTCAGTGGCCCAAAATGAAAAAGATGGTCATTTGGTAAAATTCAGTGATGGTATATTTCATTTAAAAAAAAAAAATTCTCTTTTTAGGGGTTTGATCTTTCTAATGTATTATGAAAAATTTCAAACATGTAGGAAATTCTAAGGAAATAGTGAATTCCCGTAAGTGACTGATTCTATAATTAACATGTTGTTGTATCTGCTTTATTACATATCCTGTTTTTTAACCACTCCAGAGTTTCAGACACCAGTACATAAGATATGTGTATAACCTAAACTGTCTGGCAATCACCACCAGGAATCCCCTTATTCTCTTCCTTTGAAAGAAAAAAGGCAGTGATAGTTTTACATCTTAAAAATTATCCTTACCAAAATAGAAGGCTGGTCTTCCTAGGTTAGTTTTATTTTGGAATTGAACTAATTTTTGAAATTTAAGTCTGGTTACCACTGCCCAAGAGAGCTGGTTACTGGGATGGGGGATGGCCATTACGAGTGTGATTCTCCTGACTCAGGGTAACAAGTGGCTTACCGTGGTGAGCAGTGCATGAAGAACAGGGTTGGCCTGGCTCCTTGTTCTAGCTCTGCCACTGAATAGCCCTGTGGCCTTGGTCTGGTTCTGTCCCTTCCTCAGTTTCTTAACTGTGCCTTGGAGGTGATACAGCTTTCACTACTTGGGGGCCATTTGAGGCTCACTTGAAATTTTGGGTAAGATGAACTAAAGCAGGAACATGTCACTTAGACATACTGCAGCCTTCTTGTAAGTCATTACAATGACTTCTGCATTCCAGACGTGGTACATTTCAGGTGGTATTTCAGTTTTTTCCCTTTATGTTTGCAGACCAGCTCTAAAGGCAAAAGTTGTATAGAGCTCTAATTGTTACCTAAGATCTTGTTTTAAATTTCTGATACCCAATTCACATCTGGGTTTTCCCAGATTCTTTTTCTCCTCCCTTATAAAAATCATTTTAGGTGAAATCCTTTTTTAAGGAGGGTCTGATTTGGTAAGTTGAACATAATTCTACACCATTCTTCCATTTCTCTACTTCCTTAGACTCAGTAAGATATTGTCGGGAGAATAGGAAGGGTCCGTTATTTGAGGAAACGCTGCTGTTGACAGGTTTAAGGTTAGAAACCTATGCACTGTGTTACACAACTTTGTTGGTAGGTCTTCTGTTTGAAACGGATGCAAATCTGATTGGTAGGTTGGTTGTTCAGTAAATACTCGGGTCGTCATTACTGCATACCTTCTGTGTATGAGCCACCACGCTCAGGGCTTGGAGAAATCATGGCTGGGGAAGATGAGTCATCCTGGGATGTGTTTGATTGGCACATAGGGAGATGACAAGTGGTTTGGCTCTAAAGCTGGGAATGGGACTTGAATGGAAACATAGGACATTTGGAGTTAAATTTTGTTGTAACCAGAAAGGAAGCTGTGCCCAGATTATTCTTGATGCATATAGTTCAGAATGAGCATACCTAGGAGTCTGTATCTGATTGAAGTGCCTGAGAAATGGACACATCCACAGATGCCTTCTGGTGGACCTGTAGGCTGGATGTTGCTGCTTTTTTTTTGTAAGAAGCTAAGGAAAAAAGTGCTTTCCCAATGGAAGAAATAGCACAGATACATGTTTTTGAAACCAGTAGCCTAGTTGTACTGGATAGAGTGTGTGGCAGTATGTACAGGAACTGAGATAAGCAGTGCTTTAAGTGCCAGGCTCTCCTCAAGTAGTCTGGGCAGAGGTTACGTGAAGGCCTCAAGTCCAGTGATGCCGGCACGGGCAGCAGCCTCGCCGTCCGCCTAGGTGTATGGACAGTACGGCTCTTAGAGTGGGGCAGTCCGTCCTCACCTCAGCAGAGGGCGTTCTTGAGTCACAGTGCATCCCTGGAGCTTCTTTGTAAGTCAGAACCACTTTCAGAGGTTTCCCCCGTCTCAAGTTTAGGGTGGGACTAGGAAGGCTTTTAATCTCGTATGATTTTCTCTGTGAACCTCAGTCCCGGAATAATAGTTGCAAATGGGCTTCCTGTGGAGATGGAACTATTTAAGTGTCTGGAAAATGAACCCAAGTGTAGAAAGCCACTCAGTAAAAGAACTCAAACAGTTGAAAAAGACTGGACACTGTAGCAACTGGATCGAAATATATTTTGACGGGGAGTATAGAAATAGGGCATGCTCTGTAACTGAACAGCGCTTGCTAGTTTAGGATGACCTCCAGCTTAAGATCTTCCAATAGCAGTAACTTTTTTGTGTTCAGGCTTTTTGAAGCTCATAACGAGATTTTCCAAAATTATACATTTCCTTATTAAAAACATTTTCTTAATGCTTTCTCATTCTTAATAATTAGTTCCTTTTCATAGATTTTTTTTTGGACACAACTAGTACAGAAAGCATAGTGGGTCTTTTTGGGTCTTTTCACCACTGACTACTGGGGCAATTAGTTATGATACTTGACACTTTTAAAGCACAAATCCAAGTAACACACTTTCTCATCTAATTATATTACTTGCTCTCCAGTAAGTGTGAGACACGGTGTTTGTCTCTGACTTTCCTCAACATTCCATTATGCTTTGTTCTCCCTAGAATGATGGCATTTCATTATAGCTTTAATCTGCATTTTTAATGAGTAAAATTGATCTTTTTTGTGTATGTACTTTGCCTCTGTTTTTAAATGAGCCTTTTGTCTAGAATTCCCCCCCCCCCCCGCCATTTTTTCCTGCAAACATCTTCTATCCACGTTGTCGTTTAGTTTGTGACTTGGTTTTGGTGGTATCATCCTATGTGAACATTCTCTGTATGTAATCAGATTTATCAGTTTTTTCCCTAGGATTTGTCTCAAAGCAGCCCTTTCCCGTGGATTTCAAATGGTACTTTTGTTGTTTATGTGCTAGGATCAAGATGTTTTAGTGTCTGGGAGAGTAACTGGTCATATAATTTTTAAGTTTAACAATTCTATTACAAGCAGATTTTTATCTTAAAGCAGTCATCTTTCCATGTAATGTAAAGTCTTCATATAGCTCTTGTACATTTTTAAGCATTTACTTTTTTCCCTCTTTGTTGGTAGACAGTCTTTGATAGTGTTTCATTACTCATGTGTAAGCATGTTCTACCTATCTTAATTTTGAGGTTTGGGTTATGACTGTACATAGATATTCAGAAATACTTTTTCACAGATTAATATCAGCTGTGCATTCCTGATCCTTATTTCTTGTGGCATATTCTTAATTTGAAAATCCTGAGCATCATCTGCTGTTTCATTATTTCCTTATTATTTTTCTGCCTCCAAGTTTTTCTCTGAAGCTTTAAAGATGTGCTTACGAATGATTTCATTCTTTGATACGTACACTCAAATATGAATTTGCCGTTTATTCCAGTAAGTGATTTAATCTTCTGGGATGATCCTGCAGTATGCCCCCGACGATTGTCCCAGCTGCTGCATAGTCAAAAGCGCAGGCGGGAAGCCAACTGAATGTTACCTTGAGAGGAGTGGAAGCATGTATTTAGTGCAGTTTAAGAATTTTGTGTAAGACTCATACTCTAATGCCCTTCTTCCCCCCCCTCTTAATTGTAGGGAGCTGTCCAGATTTATTGCTGCAGGGAGACTACACTGCAAAATAGATAAAGTAAATGAAATAGTGGAGACCAACAGGTACTGCTAAGTTTGTACGTCATTTGTGTGTTAGAATAAGGGGCATTCTTTTAAAAGTAGGTCGACTCTTGTTATGGAGTAATGTGACTGGTAAATAATTCATTTTTTTCTTGAATTTATTTATAGGCCTGATAGCAAGAACTGGCAGTACCAAGAAACTATCAAGAAAGGAGATCTACTACTAAACAGAGTTCAGAAACTTTCCAGAGTAATTAATATGTAAAACCATGTAAACAAAGGATTTCCTTTAGAGATAACTATTTGGAATTTTTATAGTTTACTATGTACCCAGTTCAACTGTATAAAATAAATATTGCATTGTTGTTTCTGTTTCAATTTATTTTTCTTAATATATCCCCCTTTTAAGGATAGGGACCAGTAATGTTAAAATAAGGTCATTTTATGTCATTTGAGACTGTAATCCGAGACTACAGTGCCTGAGTTCAAATCAGTAGGGATAATACAAACCCTTCATATCTTACCTAAGTCTCCTGAATTTTAGAAAGAGTACATGCCATATAGTAGTCCATAACTAAACACTTAGGAGGCAACCATAACCCTGGATTCCAGAATCTGCCAATCTCACCATTGCTTAAAAACAACCACAAAAAAACCTATGTTGATATTGGCAATGGGATCTTTTCCCCCCAACAAATAGAACTACAGTAAGGAAAACAAAGTTGTTCCTTGTTTTTCTCTTAATTATAATATAAGCTCGGTGAGTCAGATGGGGCTAAGTGCTAGAAAAAAAGAAATCTAAAACCGGATAAAGGAGAGAGTGAGGTAGGGTGTGACGAGCTCTCCCATGGGGTGTCACAGAAGGCCTCTGCTAAGGTGACATTTAAATAGAGGAGGAATATGCAAATATCTGGGCGAAGAAAGAGGGAAAGTCACTGGAGGTTTTAAGCCAAGGAATGGCCTTTGACGTGTCCCCGGCTGGAGGGGATGCCTGATGATGGTGTGGACGGGGCAGGCAGCCGACTTTGCTGAAAGATTAGAATGGGGGGGGCGGGGGGGGGCGGGGAGGGTGAGGAAAAGTCTGGGATGACCCCATGCTTTTTGGATGCTGACTCTGACAAAGCCATCTGGGTAGAGCGGAGTTAAAAAGAGAATGGGAGGGGCGCCTGGGTGGCTCAGTCGTTAAGTGTCTGCCTTCGGCTCTGCTCGGGTCATGATCCCAGCGTCCTGGGATCGAGTCCCACATCGGGCTCTCTGCTCAGCGGGGAGCCTGCTTCTCCCTCTCCCACTCCCCCTGCTTGTGTTCCCTCTCTCGCTGTCTCTCTGTCAGATAAATAAAATCTTAAAAAAAAAAAAAAAGAATGGGAAATGGCATTGTACTGTAAAAGGAAGGGGAGAGAAGTCTGCTTTTGTAGTTTACATGCTGTTTTAGTTACGGGCCGATCGGAATGATTCATTAACATTAGAGAAGAAAGCCTCTCAGTCGATGGAAAATAATGTGATACAATTCAACATTCATTCATGATAAAAAACGTAAGTAAACTAGAAATCATGAAGGTTGGGAAATCAAAGCACGATTCCAACGACACAGTTCACGACCGTGCTCGCGTCAGTGTGGTGCGTGGGGGGCGGGGCGGGGGATGACCGCGCTCTCCTGCGGGCGCCACGGTGGATGGCAGGCTAGTTAATGCTGCATAGGCCTTAAGCATTGGAGAATATCCACTTACGGATCCCCGAAAATGCTTATTTATAAAACCTTAACAATAATCACTATAATTTCTTGAAGAAAATGTGAATATAAGTATTCTAAACCCATGATCCTGAAAATCAGGGCAATTTTAAATCCAACATGTAGTCACTGAGAACTCACTGTGTTCCTTGGGTCCGTTCAAAAATGAGAATTCTGTTCTTAGCAAATTGACTCATTGCAGTTCATGCTAAAGGGAAAAAAGTAGGATTGAAACGTCAGTTTCTTAAAATAGCCCTTTCCCTGGGCTCCCTCCTCTAAGACCGCCGGGATGGATGTGATCACAGAGCAATTCTGGCTTTTCATTGAAGGCTTAGACTAACTCCTGGTCTAGACAGGGAATTCTCAAAACACTTTTTTTTTTTCCCTCTGCTTGCTTAAAATGTACTTGATTTTATTTTTCTTTCACTATATCAGCCCAACTTGTCTAAAATTAGTAGGCGAGGGTGATAGGTAAGGGAAGCCAAAAGAAACAAGTGCTATCCATTCCGAGTTCAAGATAGGGAAACTGAAAACTCCAGAAGCTGATAACTTACTTATGAGGGAAACAATACAGTTTTGAGGTGATGGAGTCCATTTTTTCCTTTTTTTTTTTTTCCCTGAAAAAGAATGTGTGCTCATTGCAAAAGAAATTGAAGATACTAAGTAAGGTGGATGGCCTTGTAGTCCCGCCCAGCAGGGACAGCTACTGTCAACATTTTCATGCTTGCCACATTTAATACTATGCAAATGTAGTTTTTAATACAAAATTGGAGCTTTTGTTACATGTTGTTAATAAGTTATTCTATGCAATTACAAATCCCAGAGGAACACTGCTAGCCTAGAAGTATCCGTCTGGAGGTGAAAACAAAGTTCGAATGCGACACATCTCTTTTTAAATGAGGCCATACGGTATGGGAGAAACAGCACTGACAGGAAGGCCAGAAAAACCAAATCCTGGTCCCAGCTCTCCTCACACTAGCTGCCTGATGCAGGGAGAAAGGCCTTCATCTCTGGGAGCCCCTCCCCTGCATCTGCAGGGCGGGGGAGCAATCAGACTCATGCAGTTCTGTGTGTGAAAACGCTAACACACTGAACACTGAAGCAACAGTACTAAAATATTTCTTAGTACACTGAGTGTTAGTAAACTACTGTCACATACGATAAATTGGGCCACCTCAGCCAACTTTTATAGAATAAGCTGAAAACGGAGTTTTTTGTATTTGATCGAGATTAAACTGATGTTTTTAACAAACTTAACATTTGTTACGTAATTATGGAATGCTAACGTCTGCTTTATGGACAGGTAGAGTATTTTAAACCCAATAAAAGGCTTGTCAAAGACATTTTAGGTCCAGGCCCATGTTTCCCACAGGTAGGGATCAAAAAAGCTCAAAAGGGGGCGCCTGGGTGGCTCAGTCGGTTAAGCGTCTGCCTTTGGCTCAGGTCATGATCCCAGGGTCCTGAGATCGAGCCCCGCATCGGGCTCCCTGCTCCGCGGGGGGGCCTGCTTCTCCCTCTCCCACTCCCCCTGCTTGTGTTCCTGCTCTTGCTATGTCTCTCTCTGTTAAATAAATAAAATCTTTAAAAAAAAAATAAAAAAAGCTCAAAAGGCCAAAGCCAGTCAGGATGGCAAAGGATGCTTCCTGATGCTTCCAGTTGGAGACTGGTCACATACGAGCTGCAACACTGCCACACCTGCCACCCCCCCCCCCCAGGTTAGTTTTCAAGATAAAAATTCATTTACGGTCACCTTCGAAAAACTGAAAGCACAATTCAAAGGTCACTTATCCAGCTTCTGTGGAAAAATGGACAGATGAGGCTAACTCTGGGCTCACTTTCCCCATCAAGCTACCCAGCTAGCATGGGTTCTCCAGCAGGGCCCCGTTACCTTCTACTACCTGCCGGGCCCACCGGCACTCGAGTTTGCTGCCCCCGCATTACCACCCCACTGCCCCATTCTGTCCCCATTTTATGATGCAACACCTTTAGTCCTGTAGTAGCCTGACCGAGCGTTAGTATTAATTGATCAGCAGGTTACTGATCATTAGCAAACTGCCTAATTTTGGATTAATCCTTGGTGCTGTTTTTAACCTGGCTTTTAAAGAGGATTAATGGCTGATCACTGAAATCTTACTGTTTCTTCATGATTAGGAGAAAGAAAGGAGGGGGACTACGATAATCTCTCACCTTCCTGATGCTGTACAAACTACAAATTGTAGCAACCTGCCACCTCCACAATGGCAATGGGGAAGTAAAGTTAAATCCCTATCTGGAAAAACGTGACAAACTCGAATGTGGACTAATGTGGGTTTCAGAGGCATAGAGCCCCAGGCGTGCATTAGTCTTGTGTTTCTGAAGACCTACCAAAGACAGTAAGAATTGTAGCAGTTTGGTCCAGGGGAGGATCACCGTTTGTCACTCACAAAGGTCTGGCATAATTTTCGTGTAGAGATTGGTTGTGAGCTTAAGTAAAAGGGACAATCTGCCAGTGAACCATCGGCCTCCATCTAGCTTCTAGAAATCCCGAGGTGGCCTCAGAGAAGTGACCGCTTTAGTCAAGACTGCTACTAGGTGGCGTCCTGACAATCTTACCAACCCCCTTGAGGAGTTTACCAGAGTATCAAGGCTGCTGAAACTCTGCACTTGGGTTTTGAGGACTCTGCATTTCTCGAAGTCCTCCTCTGGGTTAGAGGCTGTTCATTCAAATCATACCTCAGGAACGTGGGCCCAACGTGAAGTCCACATTTTCCTAGTCTGCGCTGCTGTCTCCTGGCCATAGGATTTCCACCCTCATTCAAAATGCCTTCTCTTTAAAGCTGCTCACCACCCACCAATACACCAATTCTCTGTGCTCACTGCCGCCAGACCTCCAAGCCGCTCCATCCTCCACACACCAGACCAAGCAGCTGGCTCTTTCTCTCAACCGCAACCACTTGGAAACCGGCAACCTACACAGAAAGAGCCACGCCTCACAGCTCCTTGGCCTGAACTTCAGTGTTCATGCCCCCCAGGCCACTTCCAACCTCGGCCATGGTCTCACCCAGGACCCAGGAATCTCAAGCACCTCTGAACAGCTCTGTGGTTCCAACTGAAACCTGATATTCTACTCCAACCCCTAGTATCCTATTCCTCTGTTCCCTGACCTGTCCCTAAAAGTGCTACGCCACCATCATAACTCTGTAACCTGGATCCGCCTCTGTCAGCCCCTCTTCCAGTAATGGCCAGACTGAACTGAACGTGGACTTAGCTCTGTGACGGTGAATAAACCATTTAACTTGTCTCATCACAGACAAATTACCTGGAAGGAGGATCATAAGACTTAACAGAAGGGTAATTACAAATAAAATGTCTTGAGAGTGTCTGCAAAGATTCTGCAGGGCGGCTTCTGGTTCTGTTCCTTGAATGTCCCAATCAAGGCCATCATCAATGACTTAGCCATACCCTCATATGCTTTAATTGCTGGGCAAGCTCCCTGCCCAAGTTCTAACTTCTTCACTCAACTAATACCTGTTGTTCCGATTATCCCCAAGAAAGAGGCAGGAGGAAAAAAATTAAAAGCAAACATTACCTGAGTGGGTTGGTGGGGTTAATTACAATGGAGTCAACTGTCTAAGCTTGTAACGAAACCGTTTCAACCTCATCCTCTGTCTTCACCAAAAATACGCTCTCCAGGGTTTCATCTTGGGCTTTCTTCTTTCTCTGGGCCACAGAGGATGGGCTTCAGGTTTGCGAAGTCCTGGAGCCAGAACATAAAAAAATGTGGTGTGTCTGTGCCTCTGGCAGAGAGGGCCCATACTCCTTTCTTGAAATCTGGCGGGGGGCGAAAAAGAGATTAAGAACCACTGATCTGACAGACCTGAATTCACAGCCAGTAGGTGCGGAACCGTAGGCGAGACACTTAACTTCTTAGATGTTCCTCCTCCATTTGACTAGGATCAAAACTACCTACTCTATCGGGGCTTTGAGAGAGAGAATGTTTACCAAATGCTTCACTGGGCATTGTAAGCATTCAACTAGATGGGCATTATTTTAACAATGAGCCAAATTTAATAGCGACCCTATTTTTCCTAGGTGAACTCATACACTCCCATACCTCATTTACCATCTAAGAATGGAAGACAACCTCCATTTTACAGCTCACACCTTTCTCTTAAGCTCCGTCCAGACTGTACATATCGCCACTGGGCACTAAATGTGAGTTTCCCAGTGGCTACTCAAATTCGTTGTTGTAGGTTTTTCCTTCTTTGTCATAGATCATATATGTAAGGCTCATCAACCAGTTTGGCTGAGCTAGAAATTGTATGTTATCTTGGATTCAACCTTCCCCTTAATGTTCAACATAATGAGACCTCAGGCAGGACCTGATGGTTCTACCTGTAAAGCATCTCTACAGTCAGTTCCCTATTTATCCCCATGGTCACTGCCTTAGTTTGGAAACTCAGTAGCTCTTCCTTGGATTGTTACGACAGCACCATAACTTATTTTTGTCCCAAGGTTCTCACCTGTCCATGCTGTCCTCCATACTTACTGGAGGGCCCTTATGGGATGGGGATTTTTTAAAAAAAAAAAGGGATTAAATTATGTGTTTGAATCTCCCTTCTTCCTGAAAACTTTTTCCTTTGGCTCCCTCTCCTCCTCCCCTCAAAGAGAATCTCTGCTAGTACCAGCTTTGGTCCCTGCGCTTTGGTTATGGAAAAAGGGGTGAGAAGTGCCAAGAATCACACAGCCTTACAAAATGAAAGACAAGTTTAATTAACTCCCATGAGCAACAGCAGCAAAAGTTTCTTACTAGAAAGAAAAGACTGCAAGAGTAGAAAGTGGGATGAAAAGGGGCAGGGCCGTGGGCTTGATTTAGAGGAGAGCTTTTTGATTAAGATGGGGAGGGGGAGGAGGAGAGAAGAGAGAAAGGTGTAAAGGATGAGGTTTGAGGCATAAGAGAGGGAAGTGCAAGAAAAAGGGAAAGATCTGAATGGCTTTTACTTCTGATGCCGGCAGCACGGTGGCACCGGGCCCCGGGACTCTCTGGGCTGTGACAGTTACAGTTGGTTAAATTGTATGCTCCTGACGGTGAAGGCCCCATGACTTCAGGTCCTCGACAACCTGGTGCCGACTTCTGCAACCCTTCAGCCCCTCCTTTCCAGAAGCTCCACCCAGAATGGTTCTCTTCCACATTGCTTCCCGCCTGTGCTTGCCCAGTCTGCTCCCTCTGCTGACAATGACCTTCTTACCCTGCCTTCCTGCCAACCCCCCTTCCTTGAATCGGGAGTCTCCTGCTGTCCACGGCCAGGTTACCTGCAAGGGATTGGAAGTAAAAAGGGTTAAGAAATTGAGTGAGCCTCTTCCCAGGAAGTTTAAGAAGGACGCCTGAGGCGAAAGGATCTCCTCAGAAATGATTTTAGGAGTTGATCTAAGGAGGGAATGGGAAGTCCGTGGCGTGGTGGGGGGTTGAAACCAGACTGGCTCCTTTGTGTAATATGTGGACATTTTCTCCAACACACAAATCAGTTGCTTCCCTTACTATGTTAAGAAGAGAATAATTTTTAATTTCTTAGAATGATTTGCAAATGGAAACACTGGCCCAGTTTCTACAGATAAAAGATTATGTTGTGCTCTGAATACTACCAAAATGCACTTGCGCTTCCAGGGAGGGAAGTCGTACGTAAAAGCAAGGAAGGGATCACACTAGCTGTGGAAACAAAACTTACCTCTGGAGAAGAACGAAAACTGACCACACGCCATCAAATCTGCACATAAGCAAGTACAAACAGAACGTGTTTCTCAATCTATCAACTTCCCTTTGTTGACAAACCTGCAATAGTGTTCACAGTTTACCCAGTTATTAATTTCTCCAAAACAAAGCTTTGTGCCCAAGAAGGGAAACATCGTAAGCCCTGTACTTGGCTTACGCAGAAGGGAAGGAAACCAAAGGTGCTTCACAAGGGTGTCTGATGCCAAAAAATGAAGCCAAGTCAGACTAGATTGAAAGGGGTTTAGTATCACGAGGCAGAAACATGTAAAATATTTCATGCAGCCAACCTTATTTATTGAGAAGTCCTAATTTTATTGCCCATTTAGTAACATGTTTGTTCCACAAACTAATTTCTCATAAAGCAAAGCACAACCTTTTCTTATAAATAGTATAAATTATTTTATTTACAGAAACTTGTTACAAAACAAATAGACTATATATTTCTTCTCTTTTAAATATCCAAAGTAATTTTCTATCCCTTGACATTTGTTCATGTTCTATACAGCAGCCAACACAAAAGTCCAGCTGAGATGCTCTTGATTACGTGTACAAATTATCAAACTATTCACACATTTTAACACAGGAGATTGCTTTTATAACCAAGCTCAAAGAAACAGCAAAATGCTTTTCAAGGCTCTACATTCACACTGACAGTATGTAGTGCTCATTTAAATGATCGGAAAATGCAGAACGTTTTGCACAAAATGTAAAAATGATTATTTTCTGCTAAACAACGAAACTTTTAACAATCATTTTCCAAAGCAGCCCCCCCCACTCTCCACCCCCCCCACCCCGCCCGGACAGAGAGATAGTTAAGAAATTCCTTGGCAACAGAACTCTTGCAGGAAGACAGCTGCCTTTATAAGTTACATTTTTCAAATTATGCATTTTTCAATGTTCTCAGAGGTACTTTGTATTATATTTTTGGAATATAAAATCTTTTAAATATTCTATTTTAAACTCTGTATTTCATGAGTGAGTAACAAAACGGACATATTGTGAAAGTCACTGGCTGACCAAAAGATTTGTAACCCTTTGTGCCACCAGGCAGTCCGTCACCAGTTGAATTACTGTGAACCAAAAGGCCTTAATTTTAAAATACCTAATAAAATTACCAGCATTGGTGGTTTTCAACTCCTCACCTAAGATTTTAGAAACAATATTTAGGTGGAAAAAGCAAACTCCAAAAGTTGAACTGAACATTCAAGTCTTTTTAAAGAATCTGTCGAAGCTTAAAACTAGGTTCAGGCACTTTCAGTTTTTCCCGTTAGTTTTAAACCACATCACACATGAACACACACACGTGCTCAGAGTGTGCACATACAAACGCACAGGCACGCACGCGCACTCACACATAAAACACGAACAAAAGAAAAGCAGTGTGTCACTTTGTTACGTGTAGTCTATCGGGAAATCAGGCAACTAGAGAAGCCATGCCCACTTGATCGGCATGAATCCGCTCCCGAGACATTAAAGGGACAAAAAGACTTTCACAGAACAGAGGCATCCCTTAAACTGTAAAGGAGGCAGGATCTAGAACTATTGGCTTGGCAGTGAACCACTTCAAATTATAAAAAGGTATTTACTTTTATTAATTAATAAATAAATACTAGATGATCTCAATTGTACCAAAACAGGATATCAGAAAAAAAGACCTGTGCAAAAATACATATTTAAATATGTACAATTCATTTTTAACAAAATATGTCTTCTGAAATAGGGATACTTCCATATTTATAATAGAACAAGAAATTCCAAAATAAAGATACAAAAGTAGGTTTTGTAGAATTCTTTGTTCATCAATGCAGCACTTTTTTTTTTTTTTTTTTTTTGTAGGTTAAGAAAACTGCAGGAGTTGTCATGAAATTCTATTGGAAAGAATATAAAAATTATCTTGGTTTTAAATTGATACCAAAGTCTGTCTAGAAACAACCCAACCACTGCAAATTTGGTTTTTGCAAGTTAATTTAATTCAAAAAAATACTTGTACTCCCGTGTTTTAAATGGTCTTAATTGTTCATTATAATAAAAACTAGTTGTAGGAGAAAATAAAATATTTCAACAGTCTAAAATTTAATAGCACTGTTCAGAATAGGTCTGTTTGTGGCAGGCAGAATCCAAAATGGCTAATTTCCTAATCCCGATGATCTGTGTACTACCGGGAGACATAATGAAATTCATTTAAAACCTCAGTCTAAGAAATCAAATGATCAACACTCGCTTATCTAAATATCTACATAATTCTGAATCAACTTGCTATCATGGATCTTATTCACATCTTTTGGAACAACATGATCTGTCTATAAATTCCATCGCTAAAAGCAACTTTATTTATATCCATCAAGTCCCCTTGGCTCTGAAAATAAATTCTACCCATAGCCCCATTGCACTTGTCACCAAGGAATCAACTTAAGTACGTTCTGATTCCCTCTTACTTCCGTTCTCTCCCTCCACTGGGATGGAACAACCAGACTGATTTCTCCTAACTACACCAAACTGGCCCTTCCATGCGCTCTCCTTACTAAGCTCTCCTATAGTATCATTTTTTAAAAATATTTACTGATTGCATAATAAGTGAACAAGATACTCTTCTCCCCTTCCTTTAAAAAAAAATCAATATTTTACATCAATTTATAGCTAAAGTATCTGCATATAGCTTTTGTTGTCTTACATAATAATTCTGTAGCGATTCACATTATTAGGCTGGTAACCAAGTATTTACTCATTCTACTTGTTGTTGACTCGAAATTCCCTGACACTGACGTTTGTAACCCAAGAATTGTAGGGAAAGAAAGGATGCACTGCCTGGCTCT